GCTGCTCCGCATCCCGGGAACACCGGAATTCTTTCTTTCCTTCAGCTCCTTGCGGCACTTAGTCCGGGGACAGGTGTGACACCTTGAASCTTTTTGTTTATCGCTGGGCATCTTCCTTCTCTTCTTTGCTTCCGACCATGGGAATAGTAACAGCAATTCAGATTTTCCTTGACAGCACCTGTAACTGAACAAAACTTCTCATCTTTCGGTATCTTACAGCCTTTGCTGACAGCTATCAGTAAAGATAGCAAGTTTGTACAAACAAAACTCATCTGAGTTTTAGCTGAGAAGATGCAAAATCGGCCTTAGCCTATAGATACAGCATATTCTGTCCCTCCCCAGAAACCTGATCACCCTGCAACACACGTTTTTTAAAAAAAAAATTGCCCATGCCTGACATTTGGAGAGTCCAAGGGCAGTGCATCAGCAGTCTGAAGAGTGAGTGTTAGCACTTACCTGATCCCCCATGTGAAGAGAGATAATCTTTGCAGGGAGGGACATATAATACATTTTTTTGGCTGTATTTTCAATATGTTTTTTTCAAGTTCCAAACAGATATGCTGGGGATGTAATTTGACAGTATATACTTGCAGTCTGAAGGGAAGAGGGGCAAACATCAGCTCTTTTCTGCTATTCCATCTGTGACACTGTACTATAATCTGGAAAAGCTTAGAACATTAGTGGATAAGAAAATTATTTTGTTTTCTTATTGTTTAGTTYCTGCTCTTCAGTTTAGACTGTATTATTAAACATGGAGTAGGAATGAATAAGATAATCCATCTTTTGTTGTGTGTTACATGACAGTTGTAGAATTTGCCAGCTTCATGGTAGTACTGCCAATATGGGAAGTATTCAGAGTTCCCACTTGGATGATGGAATATACATTTAGGTATTTTTACATTTGTATATAGTTACAGCATACAGTCCTGTACTTATTAAACATTTTACTACTGCTGATCCATGGTTTTCAGAAGTTCTGTAATTACCTTTGCCCCAACAGGCTGCTATTTTCAGTTCTCATATATTTTGTAAGTTCTTCATATATTTTTCATGTATATATATAAAACAAATAAAACATAAATATTTATAAACATAAACACATATATTTATATATCTCAATTTATGCCATTCTTATATACACAGGAAAGAGGAGTTAAAAATGCATATTCAGTTTSTATGGGCTGAATGGAGCTATTTTAGGAATCAAAAGGCTTTTCAAAGSTAATGTTTGACAATCAGCAGAAGTYTTGAAGTMATAGATAAATAAGAGAGGATTTGCATCCAGTCAGTATTTGAGCACTATGGCTCTGTGGTTGATTTAGGGAAGGCAACTGGTATTTTATCCCAACTCCATCAGTTAGAAGAGAAACTCGAATCCTTTCACATAGTTTGAGATTCCCTTACATTCTAATAAAAAGATTACAGGAAGGGAAAGCTGGTAAACGTTTTCTTTTGCRTTTATATTTCTGCTGTTGTACTCTGTCTCTTTTTAGTAAGAGTTAATATTGTTTAACATTGGCTACTTTTCAGTATTTCCTGCAGTTTCTGAATGGTATAATCTCTAGATTTGTTAGAAATGGCGCCTTTGCAGGAAGCTCTGCATGTTAATTRTGACCTGGAATGAATTTTGAGAATTGGTCTCTTCCTGAGTGCATCACTAGCTTGGCTTTCTTCCTCACCTCTGCTTCAAGTGGTGATGACATATAATCAGCCTTATAAAAAGCTGTTTTTTGACTTAGATGTCATGGCTATGTGTATCTGGTTTTGTTTGAGCAGCTTTATCCTTCAGGAACTGAAGAAAGTGAACTATCTACTGTGGAAGATTACTTAGTTTTCTGGTAGTTAGTACCAGATATTAGTTTTTTGATACTCATACTRAAGTCTTCACACACAGAGACTGCTCATACAGTGCTTTCAGGGACTGATACTTACGTAAGGTTTCCGCTTTTAATGGGAGATCGTTTGCCAGCCTGTAGTCCAACTTTTCTAGGCATGTATGAAATAAAAAATAAAGTGGGTTTTATAGTTCCATTGCTTTTTTGGGGATATGTATTTGGAGAACTATTTGTAGTGACTTGTGGAATACAAAACTGCCACCATAAAATCATATCCTGTAATCACGGAACGRTTTAGGTTGGAAGAGACCTTTAAGGTCATCCAGTTCCAACTTCCCTGTAATAGGTAGGAGCACCTTCCACTGGACCAGGTTGCYCAGAGCCCCATCCAACCTGGCCTTGAACACTTGTCAGGGATGAGGCAGCCRCAGCTTCTCTGGGCACCTGTGCCAGTGCCTCACCACCCACTATGATTGCATGATCTTCCTTCTTACCACGTTTGCTAAAAGGCTTCCTATTAATTACTGAAAATRAGGCAGCTTTATGTAATGCTTCTGTGCTTGTAGTGTAACCACTGAGGAATGATTAGCAAGCAGAAAATTGGCCCTCAGATGACTTCTKTTTTTTAATTTGATGAACTGAAGTCAAATTTTTGTTGTCTAATCAAAAGACTTTARTACTACTTAGTCAACAGCTTACTCTCATCCCTCAAGCAGTTGCATTTAACTGGTATAGCAGGATTCAGGCATTACTCATCCACAAATGGCACACTTTCAAATCTTACATGGTCTTATTTTCAAAGAGGTGAAGTTGGTTAAATGCCATCAGAATAGAGCAGTGTGAGTGTGTGGTGCATTCCTATAAACCCTCTAAGTCTAAAGCATACTAATAATGCTAAACTTATATACTAGCAACTGCATTGTCAGATTTTTAGGATTTAATAATTGTGAAAAACAAATATTGTAAGGGTGCTTAATTTTCTTTCTGAGTCTTTGATGTAGAAAACTTAGATGAATTCTCTTCTTGTTGCATGGGGAAGAAATAGCAAAGACTCTACCTGATTTCTRTGTAGTTTCTGTGGTCATTTTGGTCATTTGGTCAATGGTAATTTTGGCATWTAAAATGATGTTTTTCCCTTTTCTTTAGTTTCTAAGGGAAGATATGCAATACAAGGATGCCTCKAACAAACATAGTCACCTGCACAGAGAAGACAAACATATCACCATTGAGGATCTGTGGAAACGCTGGAAAACATCTGAAGGTAGGTAAAGAAGTATTGCTAAAAATTATGGTGGTTATAGATACATTGATACATTTCAACAATTTTTCCACCAAGTATAGAAGAGTCAATGAATGACCTCTTGAAGCAGCTTCATGAATCTGTTTTGACACTGTTATTTATAGGCACACATAAACCCGACTAAGAACTTGTTTAGTCCTGTTAGAGGTAATTTCCTCTTSATGTGTTTGGTGTATTGTGAGTAAACTGAGATAGCTTACACAGTCATCTGTATGAAGTTCTAATTTATCAAGGTGACTGGTGCAAGTGCTGAACTCCAGATGAGCATGTTTATAATTTAATAAGCCCTAAACTATTTTAAAATATTTATTTTATGTTGTATTAAGTGGAAAATTCARTGCACTTTGATTTAAATTCTATTTGGGCTTTAAAGATCCAGAATTATTGCTCCAAAGCATTTTTGAAAATCTTCTTAARCTTGGGATACAGTAAAATGTACTGACAACCTAACACCACCAGCCCTCCCTCACTCTCATTTCAATGAAATAAGCAAGTTGAGCCAACTTGTCCAAGTATCAAAAAACTGTTTAATCAAGAGTACAGTGTTCATTGCCCAATAYRCCCCATGACATAGTAATTAMAAATGAATTCTAGAGATCTGGGATGTTAGAATTGTTAGGAGAAAAATGATTAACTTCCTCACCCCCTTCCCCATCCCACCCCTCATTCCCAAGGTGTTGTGCTGTCCTGATTCCAGCCAGGACAGGATTAATTTTTAGCAATAAACAGGAGGGGGCATGGCTGRGGTCCACATGTTATTCTACACCACCTCACATCATTGCTGGGAGCAGGGGAAAGGGAATCTCTCTTCTGGGGAGAAGGGATTTATGGGGAATGGACAGGTTGGGTATTTGTTTATTGTCAGGGGCTTTCCAGGGGAGTAGTTTATTTGTCTTATACCTTTTGTTCTTATATTGTTGTTATTGTTCATTTTCTTATCTCATTGCTGTTTCTAGTAAATTGTTCTYATATCAACCCATGATCTTTGCCCTTTGTGCCTATAATTGGAGGAGGAGGGGAAACTGCACACATGTTTTTAGTGGGAGTGTAAATTTGAGAATACCATTCCTAAACCACAACATGTTCTAATGGTGCAAATAGAGAGATCTTAAAGTTGGTATGGGTCAAACAACTWAAAGTGGGAACAAGAGAGGAATGAAACTAGGAACGTGCCATTGGTTCATTCTGCTAATACAGAAKTGGCCTAAGTGCAGTCTGAAGTAATGCATGAAGTGCATGAATGTAATTACCAAATTACAGAAGTTTGGTAAATATCTGTTTTAACCACTGATATTTAGCTTCATCTTTTCAAATTTTCTTTAAATACTTCTTCACTGAAGTTCTTGTTCCCTGAAAATATTGCAGCTATATTATCAGAAAAAAAATATCTTCTCAGCTTTTGGTCTAAGTCAGGAATATCTGTGAAAATTTAGGCTACAGTGATAGCAGAAGTRTAGTTTTTCTGTTGTGTGTATCTTTATTTTTTATTGTATTGGTAGGGGCAGTAAGACTCAAAAGACGGAGAGGAATGTCTCATCTCATTGTGTCTGCTCGTAGTGGCTTTATTTGTGCATCTTGCTGAGAGAACTAAAGTTGCACCACAGGGAGACCTTCAGAATGAGACTCCTGAGCAGTGACAACAGTGGTCTGGTGACTGTTAGAAAGCGTGAAGCCCCTCAGAAAATGAACTACTTTCATTTCATTTCAGATAACATGGAAAATGTTACTCTTCTTTTTATATGTTTTAGGAATTTGGATWTGTTTCTTATGTGCCACTAGTTTRTAGTGCCARTTTAATGCAATTTGACAACACTTAAACAAGAGGATGGAGAGTAGTGTAAATGACAGTCTCAGYAATTTGAGACTTTCAAGCAATCTGTTGAGGTATCTGTGAGAATTAAAAGCTCTCGACAGTGTATACAGAAACATCTGGATCTATTGCTGAGTGGAACTGCCCATTCTTTGCTGTAAAGCTTGCTTTATGTGAATGTTTTTCTTAAATGTTTAATAGCTTAAAATGTCTTAATAGCTTAAAGTTGTCCTTTTTTAACATTGAGGGTTCAAGACAGCTAAGATTTGAAGGAAGAAAGCGAAAACATGCCACCGCTGTTTGGTGTCTCCTTTTAYGGTTAAGGAAAACAGAAGTTGCTTTTAAGTAATTGATTGAGGATTTTATACAGTGAATGTAACCCTGAGGATTGGCTGCATTCAAAGCTCTGAAAATTGCCTAATAAAAGAAGGAACTTCAGAACATTGCTTTTTAATATTTCTGGCACTGGGCAGGCTTTTGATGTCCCTGCCTGGTGCAGAATCCGTAAGGCACAGTCCAGGCTGGGGCAAATTAAAGGAAGTTCAAGCCTGTCACAGGTTTCACCTGCGTGGAAGGCGTCACATCATAGCTGGAATCTGCATCTAGCTTATTACTGCTGTGTTGCCATTCAGTTTAAATGAGTCATTTGGTACTAAACAAGACTTCAATTTAGTTTAGTTAGAATGTGCTTTTTGTGACTTCTGAAATTTTTAATCGCATAATACAAATCTACAGAGAGTGCTTTATTTAGAGGAGTGTCTGTGAACTAGCATAGCTGTTTAAAATGTAGAAGATGCTGCTCTCTGAAAGTCTTCTGTTACCCKGTGTTGCTATTCTTTAAATGTAAAGCATATGCTTGTTACATGGTATTCTTTGGCTGTCTCCTAACAAAGCAATATTTATACATAATATGTATACTCTGTAGTATACGATATGTATACTACAGAGCCTTTCCCCCATTCAAAAGTAACAAACTTAGTAGATACTGTTAGGTTAATAGCAAAGGAGCATCTTCAGTATTTTTTCTACAAGGGCCTTGAAGAGGTAGTAGTTTTGAGTGTGGAAAAGGGACAGATGAACATTTGGTTTGATGTCTGAATTCCTGTCTTTGTATAATTATCTTTGAAAGTTCTCTCACTCACAGGCACCTGCCTTCCCTTTTTGSCCCTGTAAGGGGCTATGGTCATGTGAATTTGCTGTCTGAAGAGAAGCGTGTAGGTACTTGGTCTCAGTAGTRAGGGGACTGTAAAATCAGGGCCTTCAGCTGGGTAGTTCTCTGACCTGTCTCAGTGAGTAGGGTTGAATGCTGCATTCCTTAGTGATGTAGCATGGGCCTTTGGGACTTGATTTTGTAGTGAAGGTAAAAGCTGTTGTGGTCAAACCTGGAGTTCATGAATGCTTGTCAGACTAATTTGAATCCTAYCAAAACCTAGTTGTTACAAACTGCCTTTTAAAAGAAAAAAGTAGCTTTTACCATTRTAGCAGATTTGAGTTTTAATGTGTAATATCTCCTATAGACTGCCCTATAATACTAAAAACCCTTTTCCTTCATACAAAAGGTATGTGTACCCTTTTTCCCCTTTAATACTTTATGGAAAATAGGTGAACTCAAGTCTGATACTTTATTTATTAGGATAAAAAAAATACAAAAAATGGCTGTATATTTGCATGTGTGATCACCTGTTGTATTCTGATGTACTGCTGCACAAGTGTTCTTGCAGCAGCTGGCACTGAACTGCATACCACAAATGTGTTGTTGTTGCCCTGCACTCTAATCATTGCTGTCTCAGGTTTTAAGTATTTGGAGGCTGGAAATGCAAGCAGGGCTTGGCTGAGTTACATAATGCTGCATACTGCTGATAGTCCTAAAAACTGAGTTTTGAATCCTTTGTGTGCTTGATAAAGCGCAATCATTGTGCCTAGTCAGCCTGTTCTCAACTTGAAACCTAATRTATGGCTATTATTCACTCCTTGCCATGAAATACTCTTATCAAATGTAATTTGTTTTCTGAAAGCAGCAGGATGCCTTTAAGAATGCTGAGACTGACACTGTAATGTTATTTTACTTCATGTCTCCCTGCCCTGAAGCACGGTGCTACATGATAAATTTAACATGAAAATAATTATATAMAGTCTGATCTTTTAATCAGCCATTAATTTGTGGGTTAACAAGGCGAGACTTACATACTGGGCCAGTTTAAAGCCACTTTTGCTGTCTTCACCAGGTRTCTTGGTAGAGCAGTTAAAAAGAAGTAGGAAAAAACCCTCAAAACTCAGACTCTTGGTCTGAAGTAGAATAGCTGATGGAGGTCCAGAGACTGTGTGCTSCTCTGGGGTGTAAATACCATGTCTTCTACACCTGCCTGCCCAAAGTATGTTGCTGACATCCTCTCTCTGAAGACATCTCGGAAAAGAGGTGTGAGAGAGGAAGGATGTTGTAATTACTCTGTAATGCTATACGCAGTTAATTTACAGCAATTGTGACTGTCTACACTGCTGTCTAAAGTACTGCTTTCTTTTTTGGTGATTAAACTAAGGAAAAGTTTCAACCTCACCTAATTAGTGGGTGTTGGCACATTCTAATTGGCAGTGCTGATCAAGATGAATTTCAGTTGGCCTAGTTGCCCTTCAGTGCCCCTGGTTTATGTCACACTTGCTCTGTGTCATGTTTCAGTGGACTATTAYTGCTTCTTCTGGAGAAAGGCCAGTTTGCTTTTCAGTGCTGTGTGCTGTTGTAGAATAAACATGTATGTATGTCCTAAGATATCAACAAAAAGAAACAGTTTGATTGTTTTCTCTGATTGGTAGAACAGGAAGGAAGAACAGTGTAGTTTAGAGTCTGAGTCCACCTGGAAAACTTGGGGATTTGTGGGCACTGGCACTGGACTTCTGTGAATGAAGAATTAGTTTCCATAATAAATCTAAATTTCCCCTGAATCTCTGCTCAGATACATATTTCAGACCTTGACATCCCAGAATAAGAGAAGACAATTTGTATTGATAGTTTAAATGGTTGAGTGGTCAGTTAATAGGACGTAACATCAATAAAGAAGTAATTGATAGTATGTTTTCATAAATGGGTAGCAGAAGAATACAGAAAGTACAAATTCCAGTTCTAGTTTGGGGTACATTTTGGTTGCTTCTTTTTGCACTTTCTGTACTAATGGAGRTATGTGATAGAGTGATAGATAATGAATAAGAAAGTGCTTTTTCCAGAATACAAGTRATTTGCTTGGGAAAATTTCCTTGATATTCTATGAAGAAAACATTACAGTCTAAGCACTATGACAGATGTGATCGRCTTTGTGGTAAACCACTCAAATGTATACCTTTTTTCTTTTAGGATAATATGATTAAAATTACWACTGGATTATAAAAACCTATAAATKTATGTAAAATTTGGCAGTGTCTTCAAAATTTTTTTAGCAGTAGAAGTGAAAAGTCTCAATGGTATTTTTAGCCCTTTGCCCCTGACTTATAAAATCTGTGAATTGTGTGGTTTCTGAAATTGGGTGTTCTGTACTGTCAGTGATAGTCTATCGTGTGTAGTGGCTATTTTGGGTGGGTTTTTTCACATATCACATCAAAAGAATGCTTTTTTGGATTAGACTATGAACATATTTTTAGAATGCAGTTAAGGTGATACTTTTCTGGATGATTTTACCRTCCTTTTGAGACTTGTAATGACCAGTCAAATGACTTTGAATGATTTGTAAATCTGATTGCTTATTATTCACAAAACAGTTAAGAGTCTTTGCAATGGAAAAACATTGCCCAGACGTTTCACATAAAATCTTAGAGCAATATGACAAAACGGAGTCTGTTTCAATCAATATCTGATTATGGCTCAGARGGAGAGAAAGGAAAAGTGACAGCATACTGGAAAGGTTGTGTATTGTTGAAAGCCATTCATATGGTTAGGTAACTAGTGGTTTGTGCTACRAATTTGTTTYTTAAAGCTGTGAGTCTGTGAAATGTGWTCTGCCTATCTGGAATGATGATAATCTGAAATGTTTAAGCTGTGCTAGTGTAGACAAGAGACCTTAGAAGTCCTTATTTCAGTTTCAGTGTGAACTGAAGGCTGAATTCCAACTCAAAAATTTCCATTGCCTGCAGCTTTACCTGTCAAGCTTTCAGCAGCGCTTCCTAAAGGATCATTGTCAAAATTCACCACTCAGATTGTGTCCTAGTGATAATGKTTGTACAGAAATCTCTGCCCAGCACTGTCATATGCAAGTAGTTCTAGATAGAGAAATATTAAAAAAAAAAAAGTTTTGCATGTGAATATCTCTGTCCAGAAGGAGACTGCTCCTGTTTCTTTCATATGCAGACAGACTTTTGCAAACTCAAAAGAGTGAACAGTTTCCCCTCAGTTTTGTCAGTGTGAAGCTGTAAATTTTAGCAGCTGTACTGTAAGGGCCAGGAATGTGACTTTGTTTTTTTCTTTATTTTTTTCTTTATTTTTTTTCTTTTTTTTTGGTCATATCTGTGGCTAGTATTTTCTTACGCATCTGTAGATATGAATGTTTATATATAGTGTTGGTGTTGCTAAGGAAAATGGTTAATTATTCTCTACATATTTAAATTATTTTTCTTAGTGGGAGTACTTTTGCATGTAATTTCACTTTTCTTGGGCATGTTTGAGAGAGATTTAATGGTTTTSCTGTTAAATTTCTTCTGTCTTTTGSTGTTTTCTTTCWGTGTSCTCTCTCCTTCYCWTGTCAGSTCCCATTTTGTGGTTAGTAGGCRTGAACCTCTAAGAAAATTCTTGTCAAAATAARTTCTTAAGGCATCATCCTGGGAAAGTTCTTGGTGCCTTGCCTCAAATGGTTACAGCAGCAGCTGATGTGTGTTTAGTTCTGCAAGAATAGCAAGGACGAAGGGATTGAGGCTGCAATCGGTTTAAGCAGATGAAAGTCACAAGAGATCACAAGTTGCTGTCCTGATTTAAACTAAAGCAAAAGACTAGCTTGTTCTGGGAAAGTTTTAATAAAGAAATACTTCTTTTGGTTCCATTCTTGTTTGTTTACAGTTTGCCTGAGCTTTTACAGTAGAAATAATGAAAAAGGCAAAATGCCAGAAACACCTTGGCAATGCTRATTTTTCAGGAATTATAGAGAATTGGCCAAATTCTCTTGGTTATTGTAATCTGCTTTTCTAYTGATTGTCTTCTACGCTGTTGATTTTTACAAAAACTTAAGGTGATTGAATTTTTCTTTCAGTTCATAACTGGACTCAAGAAGACACTCTTCAGTGGCTATCAGAATTTGTTGAATTGCCTCAATATGAAAAGAATTTTAGAGACAGCAATGTCAATGGAACAACACTTCCCAGGTGAATGTATCTTCTGGATTMGTTTCAACTAATTCCCTGTAGGTTGCTGCATTAGTCTGTATGGTAGGAACAGCTATGTGCACCTAAAGTCTAACAAGAAATGGTCAAATGGAAGAAAATAGAAGTGTCCTTGCCGTTTGGAAGAAGTGGCTGCACTTTTTTTTCTGCCAAAATGTTTCAAAATATAACTTTTTWATAAAAGTTTTGTTTCTTTATTTGGGAGCTTTTATCAAAGCTCACAGAATTGTGTGGTAGCAAACTTTCCTTTTGAACATCTTTCAATCTAATGTATGGGTCTGCATAACAATGTAACTGTAGAACACCTTTCCTTGAGCRTAAATACCACACCTGAGTATTGCATGTGTTTAGGAGTTGGTGTCACAAGTCTGCAAATATACCTTTAATGATGCTAAATGGATTTATGATTTTTTTCCAGAAAGAATAGGTAAATTATTTTTATTTTCTTCTTTTGCTACGTGCTGATATGTATTTATACAGCATTACTGTTGCATTTCTCACTCTCAATTGAATAGCTGTAACCTGTGTAACTGTGTGAAATACTATTGATGTCTTTTTTTTTGATAGACTGATTTTGAATATAATTTATGGAATTTATGGAAACATTTTGTCTTATCATTACAGGATAGCCGTAAATGAGCATGCTTTCATGATCTCTCATTTGAAAATAATTGACCGGAGCCATAGACAGAAGCTTCAGCTTAAAGCCTTGGATGTTGTTTTATTTGGACCTCTCACCCGTTAGTAACTTTTTGGATTTTTTTTCTTATCTCTTGATTGTAAGAATTCAACAGAGCATATTTTCCATGACACTTGATACTGTAGATAGGACAGCTTATCTATTTAGTGGATGTACTGGTGGATTGCTTGGCATGCATTGTGGAACTCTRCAATGATTAAAAAAGGTTATTTAGTTGCTCTGACCAGGACAGTGGTTCACTTCTGTGTGTAAGATCATGTAGTAGTTTTAGTATAACCCCACTTGACAGATGAATGTTGGTTTTTGTGTCACAAGAAGTGTCCTTTAAATRTTGTGACTGTTTAAATTACATTTATAGCTAATGTTACATTCACTTCTCCATTAGCTTGGACAGTGCAGCTGSGATGCTGAAGTGAGAGGGGATGATGAAAAAGGAGATGGTGTTACAAATCCAACATCTGCATCTTTTGTGCAGACTTGAGTTTAAGTGCAGTTWAATTTAATGCAGCAGTTCCACATCTGACATTTTACCATATGCAGCCACGTCCATACCACATAACCAGTGCTCTGCATGCCCTGCAAGCTTCCTTGAACACAGTTATAGCTCTGCTCTGGTGCTGTGCATGTCAGGCRTTCCTGATCTGGTCAGGCCAGATCTGAGCTGGGGATTTTTAGGGGTGAATRAAAGCACTTTGTATTAGTCTTTTGATGCTCACAGAAACTGTCTTTACAAAGTTTTGACTATAAAAATTGTACTAACAAAGATGTGTTATGTGAATCTTGGATATGATTGTTTGACAATCCAACTTCTACTTTTAAAAAGTGCTGCTGTTACTATTTTAAAATTTACTTAATTTTTTCCAAGTATATTTTAAACTCAGCACAGGGTATTTGAGAGGGTACAAAGTAAGGAGAACTTRGTCAAATGTAATTAAGGCTCCTACTGGCCTAAAAAAGTGCAGTTGTGGATCTCTATTTTAACTGYTTAAATAAAAGTACAGACTATGTACTGTAAAGGGATTTAGTAAACTTTTCTCAATCTAATGAATGTTTTAGTATAGTTTAATTAAACTGTATTAGAGCAGAGCTGCTTTTGTTGTATGGAAAATGCTCTGGAATATATTTGAAAGGTAGTTGTTGGAGGTGATGTGAGTAAATGAGYTGGAATTCTGTTTAGCATCGGGTTCTGCCACCTTTTAGGCTGGGGAGAGGAGGGGAAGGACTTAGTCTGTTGTCTGTATCAATGAACTAGTTAATGATGGTGTTGTTCTCTGCACAGGTCCCCCTCACAACTGGATGAAGGATTTTATATTAACAGTTTCTATAGTTATTGGTTTTGGAGGCTGCTGGTTTGCATATACACAGAACAGAACCTCAAGAGAACATATCACAAAAATGATGAAGGACTTAGAAAGTCTCCAAACAGCAGARCAAAGTCTTCTTGACTTGCAGGAAAGGTATAAAACCTAAAAGAAAAAAAAAGTTGTCCTTTTGTTTTGAGGTTCAACACAAATGCAGTTCCTTTACAGTCATAAGTTATTTGCATTAACTGCCTTTGGATTTTGTTCATCTTCCCTTTGCATGGAAATTGTGATTTCAGTGGTGCTTTTTTTTGGGTAGAGATTGCTCCTGGATATTTTAGCAGGCAATACAAACTTGTGGATGAAGGTAGGGAACTGAGGCTCAATATTTTTTTCCTACAGGTTTAAAAGTATGTATTGTTATTTTCATATAATTATAGTTTGTTTTGAATAGTTATGTAGATGGGAATGAGAACATTTCTCCTCTTYTTAAGCTCCTAAGATTGAAACAAACCTGAACTGTTTACTCTCTATTGCTTATATAGCAGCGTGAGAGTTGATAGTTTGTGGTACTCCTGTGACTCAGTTGTCTATAGAGACATYTATTTTGATACTGCACTTTTAATGATGGTTCACTTAAAAGTTTGGATGTTTTGCCTGGCATGGATATCACATCGTGTGATGTAATTGCTGCTGATTCATGAAGCTTGCGTAGTCTTTATTATCACAGAGTGGTTGAGGTTAGAAGAGACTTCTGGAGTTCATCTTGTCCGGCCTCTCCTGCTCAAGCAGGATCATCTAGAACAGGTTGCCTAGGACCATGTGCAGGTGGCTTCTGAATATGTCCAAGGATGGAGATTCTACCTCCYCTCTGGGCAACCTGTGCCAGGTGCTCAGTCACTCTCATGGTGAAAGTGTTTCCTGATGTTCAGACGGAACCTCATGTGCTTTGGTTTGTGCCCATTGCCTCTTGCCCTGTTGCTGGGTGCATTTTGTTATCCTGAGGACTGCATCTTTTAACAAAARTGCTGTGTATTTTCTCATATTTTTGTTCAATTGTGAAGGCTTGAGAAGGCACAAGAAGAGAATAGAAATGTTGCTGTTGAAAAGCAAAATCTGGAGCGCAAAATGATGGATGAGATCAATGATGCCAAACGTGAAGCTCATCGCCTAAGGGAATTGAGAGAGGGAGCTGAATGTGAGCTCAGCAGGCTCAAATACGCAGAGGAAGAGTTAGTACAGGTATCTGCCAGCAGTTGATCATTTTAGTGTTGACCTTAAATTGGTCCTAGTTTTATTATATCCTTACAAATGTTTAAAGCAGCGTTTCCCAAATGCTGGATTTGAATGGAAAAATTCGAAGAGTGCTTAATGATCGTCTGTCAATTGTGTCAATCTAGTACAATAATCCTGAAACTATTAGAAGCTGTGAACTTTGTATATTAGCTTATCATAATGTTTTTKTATTCAGAGAACAAAAATATATAAAAGAGCATTTTTTATCTTGCTATCAGAAGAAAGACAATAGCTTTGTCTCATCTGAACAGCAGCAAATTYGGATTTATTTTACTAAAAAATTACCATCTTACAAAAATATTTAAACTTTGAATTAGGAACTATATATCATTGAAAAAAATATGGAAGGTCATATGCTATATTTCAGATGCCGGGTCTGGTTACCTGCCAACAATTGGCACACACCAAAACTCTGTCAAGCTTTGGTATGTTGCTGTGGGGTATAAAGGTGCTTATAATTCACGTGTCAATTCTAATAATACTTTTGTTGATGCTTTTACTTCTTCTTGATTGCTAGGTTCGTATGGCTCTAAAAAAGGCTGAGAAAGAGTTTGAGTTGAGAAGTAATTGGTCTGTTCCTGAAGCTTTGCAGAAGTGGCTTCAGCTAACACACGAAGTTGAAGTACAATATTACAATATCAAAAGACAGCATGCAGAAATGCAATTAGCAATTGCTAAAGATGAGGTAATTAATTWTTCTTCAGCTGCTTAAAGATTTTCCTGATTTGTAGCTAGAGATATGAAATAGTAAACACAAAGCAGATAAGCATTTGTGGTTTTTTTCTTCTCTGAGTTGTTGTTTGCTACCTGYCAATATTGCTAATGTTTTGTCATGCCAAGTATGCTATTGTTTTATGCATTTCACTTTACTTTGTATTATAGGCAGAAAAGATAAAAAAGAAGAGAAGCACTGTGTTTGGAACATTACATGTTGCACACAGCTCCTCCCTGGATGAAGTGGACCATAAAATTCTTGAAGCAAAGTAAGAGGGTTACTGAGACACATGCCTATTCTTTTGTGATTATTTGTTCCTGGAACAATGGTATTTTTGAGAGTTATGGAATTGAGTGTTGTGGTTTCGCACTTTAAGAAAAGTAGTTTAAAAATATTAAAATGTAATCTTTATTATATAAATGTTATAATAGATCTTCRGATATGCTGGAATGAATGTGTTGCTGTGCTTTATCATTCAGAACAGTGTATATAATTTTAATGTGTGCCTTTCTTCAGGAAAGCACTCTCTGAGTTAACGACGTGTTTGCGAGAGCGTCTTTATCGATGGCAACAGATTGAGAAGATTTGTGGGTTTCAAATCGCACACAACTCTGGGCTACCAAGCTTGACRTCCTCCCTCTACTCTGACCACAGCTGGGTAGTTATGCCTCGAGTTTCCATTCCTCCCTACCCAATTGCAGGGGGAGTTGATGACTTAGATGAAGATACTCCTCCGATAGTTTCACAGTTTCATGGTAAGTGATGAGCTCAGTAAAAAGAAAGGGGGGAAGTTGTGGGGACATGGGATTTTCAAGTCAGGTGGGAGGAGAGTACTAAAATCAAACAGGATTTGATCAAAGTCAAAAGGACCAAAATTCTATGTAGCATTTCAGATACTAGATCTAGTGGGACTTATATAAAGTAAAAACTGGGGTTTGCAATAAATATAACATGAAGAAAAAGCCTTTATTTTCATTCAGTGGCAGAGTGGGGCAAATTCAGCCAAGGTTTTGAAAGCGCTTGTAAACCTTGGATTGCTACTGAGACAAAAGTTGGTAATGAATAATGCTGACTTTCTGTTAGCACATTTATTCTTTCAGATGGAAGGAATGAAGTTAGTTAAGGGTCCCTTGAACTACAAGGAAGATCACATCCTTTGGGAGGCCCCATGCAACATAGCCTTGTGAACATTCTTTAGTGGCTGGAACAAAATCCTGTTGTRCTTCAAGAGGAGCTTTCAGGCAGAATGTTTGTGTTTGGATACAGTGAGTTGTTTGGGTGTCAGGCAGAGAGGCTGAGTGCTGGAGGGAGGGAAATCCAGCTTTGGTTAAACTATGATCAAAAAATATACGCTGGGGATTCAGACCACCCTTGTATCATGAGTCATTGTGAGAACGAGAGCCTGCTTCATGGAAGTTGTGATTAACTGGACTCTAGAGGCAAATCAAAAAGCTGAGCTCCCATGTAGCTATTCAAACAAGCTCTATCAAGCTGAGGAATGAGTAGGATGGAAAGCTGCCATGTGGGTATTTTTCTTCTAGGGCTGGGATTCTCACAAGAAATTCAGAGTGTATTTTAAAATAACATAAGGTTGCCACCTTGCTGGCTTTCCTTAGTGTGCCTTGGGCACTAGTTTTTCTTCTAAGTATACCAACCTTTTTTCTGCAGACCACACTGAAAAGTTCATTAATCCTCTTGCAACACTGCTTACTGCAAGTTCTGATCACTTTAAGGAATGCTGTTTCTCTAGTTGTCTTCAGTGCAAAGGCTTTGATTTAAACCCTAGCAACCAAATTTATTGGAGGCCCAATAAAATATGGATGCCTAGAGTTAATATTCCAATTCTATATAGAAAAGCCTGTGGTCTGATTTCAAAAGGAAGAGCTCCATTTATTGTCACAATTTTCCAGATGGTCTAAAATGACAAACTTGAATATGTGTAAAAGGCTTGTGGGTTTTTTTTAATCACTTCTCACTTAGCTCTTGCTTAGCAGCRAAGACAGAGAACAGAGTGCAGTTAATTCAAGGGAAGTACAATTAGAAAAGGACAAATGTACAGTTTGTAAGAGCATACTTAGCTGAAACTTTACTGTATGCTTTTGCTAATGTGATTTAGTTTTTTTGCTAAAGATCAGATCATTTGCAAGTATTTCTTAGTGATGGAAGTAATTTGATTCTTAGTAACACTACAAAAACTTGAATTTTTATTTTCATTTTTTTTCTTCCTGAATTTCAGTAAGGCACAAGAACCTGATGTTGTTAAGGTGATCACAAGAAGGAAACAGCTTTTTCTTAATTTACYAGCTTTTAAAATTTCTATTCAGTAAATAAAACATGGAAACACTTGGGAGTGGGGAATGAGAGGGAAAATAAGCCAAATAATCTGTTGTTGAAACTTATGTTGAGGAGTTAAATTATTGTAGGTTAGTTTGCTAGCTGCTGAATTATTCCCATCATTTAGACAAAAATAACAAATGTACACGAGGAAGAGCAGAAGCAAAATGGCTTGTCTTGGTCAYGAGGCTTCAGGCCAAATGCCATGTGCAGAGGTCACTTAAGAATGGGGCTGTGGCAGTCACTGGGTCTGAAGTGGACTGGGCTGTTACCTTGCCTTGGTCTCATAAGACTGGCAGAATTTGAAGTCTGCTGGACAGGCTTCTTTGTGCCAGAGCATTCGGGTTGATGGGCTAAAATGGTGTYAAGTGATAGAGCTGTTTGATCAATCTCAAGTTGAAGAGCTAAAAGGGATTAGTAGTGTACAACACTTGAACAAAGTCCTTACAGCGGGAATGGGATTGTGAAATTTCTACTTTTCCATTGACTGATTAGGATTCAGCTGGTTCCTTGATTTAGTGAGTTCCATTAACACTAGAAAATTCTATATGTTAAATGGTCATAGCTGAATTCTTCTTATTCCTGTGTATATACGTCTAAAAAGAACCAAAATGCTCRTTACTTCTCTCAAAATTCACTCATGGTTCCATCTTGGTTTTYTTTATTACCAGCAAGTAGGATGGCATCTGATTTACCTGGGCCTGTAGCATAAATTTCCTAAAGAGATTCCTATTCTCTTATCTCAGTTCACATTTACTCTCTGTGGAATTTTTTTGTAATTATGCAAGATGATTTCTGAACCCCCAACATGCTTTTAGGGTCAGTAGGGAATTCATCAAAAGTAAAATCGGAAGTTTTGAGTTATATGACAACTCTCATGTTGAGACTCTCAAACTTTTCTTTCCTGCTCAGGAGTGGAAATCAATCTGTGTGTTGGCAAAGGTGCATTTACTTGCTGTTTTGTGAAAACTGTGATTTTCTGTACTAAAAGCAAGTGACAACTTGTCCTTTTCTGAGATTCCAGGGAAATCAACTTACCTGATGATAAACTGCCATTGCAGAAAATAAAATGTGTTTTCTCAGGCTAGACATCCTTGTTCAAAATTATTGAAAATTATTGAAGGGGTTTTTATTTTTTTAAATGTTTTGAACACCAGTAGAGGTCTGGTGTGTCTTACATAAGCACTGATGCATTCCTTGGGACAATTTGAGGAGAGGTGTGAAATATCCTGAGACTTGTAGCAGCTAGCCTGAAAACAGGCCTGTAGATACATTTCTGTACAAGTATTGCTGCCTAATAATCTTTTGAAGGAGGAATTGGATTAGAAATATTTGAGTTTATCACTTCCTGTTGGGTTCTTTGCTGCTGAGGTCTTGTATGGCTGTCTCCACCCATTCTTAGGATTTTTGCTTCCACAAATTTGTAGTTAGCTTGGCAAGAGAAAATGTTATCTGAAAGGAAGTTCTTAGCTTAAAATGAGGTTGAATTGTATATTTTCTATCATGTTACACAAATGAAATTGGTCTTCTGTATCTAACCTACTTTTTGACTAGTGCAGTGTACATCAGTTGGCTCTTTGGTTAGTCATACYTACATTGCAAAACTTTTACATATTCTTCTAAGCTCCAAATCACTACACAAGTAAAATACAGGACATTGTGTAACATGCTAATTTCAGCACTGCTATTTTAATTTTATAAAAGGTTGGGAGTTTCAGTAGAATCCTTCTCTKTGTTCTCAAGAACTTGGTCAGGGTAGTTGGCAGGCACAAATTCTCTGCAGTTACATCTTGATTAGCTGCTTCATCTAACTGAGGAATGTATGAGGTGTGGCAGTCTTTCTTCTTCTGAAGTGGTTGAGCAATGTCAAAGTTGTTTAAAAGTCACTGTCACTGAAGCAGGTATTTACTACTTAGTCTTCAGAGTAGATATTATTAACATCAATGTCACTTGGAGGGTTTTGGTTTGCTTTTTCTCTGCCTCAGGGTCCATTGTAAAACCTCCCAGCACACTGGCAAGAAGCAGTAGCTTGTGTAGATCAAGACGCAATGTTGTGCCATCATCTCCACAGTCTCAGCACGCTTTGCACTCCCCTGACCCTGACATCCTCTCTGTGTCGAGCTGCCCTGCTCTTTATCGAACTGAAGAGGAGGAGGAAGCCATTTACTTCTCTGCTGATAAACAATGGTACGGAGATTAGCAAACAGCACTTGGAACTCTTGGTAGGATTATTGAGACTAACAGTTTAGAATTAGAGSTTAAACCAAGCCAAAAGTTTAAGTAATCTGTAGGATAATATAAATTAATATAGTCTACGTGGAACCAAGAGTTCTTGTCTGGTATGTGTATGTAAATAGCTAGCATGTCATATACAGTTAAGTAATGTTACAATCCAGGGTGCGCTGAACTAACCCTGATTCTCCATTACAATATGTTACTGGCTTTTACATCTGAAACTAGGATCAAAAGCAATGTCAGCTACTGGGCGAAGAGGAGATGGATGGTAACACAATTCTTACAGCATGTTGAGCGTGTACCTACTCTTGTTACATGGCCTCATAGGAAAARGTTAAATTCCTTTTGGAAGGAGCAAATGAGCTTGTTGAAAGGTAGGGACACTTGTCCTGAAGAAACTTTTTGTATATGATAGGCTTAAATCTCCTTCTTTCATTTCATAACTTTTCTGACTTCACGTGCCAGAAAGATAGTTTTTGTTCTTTGAAGTGAGTTACGAATCACTGATTCTTGGCAGATGCTGCTGCCCACAAAAGCAAGATTGCACAAACTAATTCCCTTAAGTTTAGATAATAAAATGTTGTAATGCAATTTGTAACTTAAAATGTTTAACTTAATTTTWTTTTTGTTTTTGTTTAATTAACTACTAAGCAAAAGTGGGGGTGGTGCTTTTAGAATAATGTTATTGATTTTTAAATTAATTTCCTTTTTAACTGTATGAAAGAAACTGTAGTTTCATTATATTTTCTCTCYTCTCTGACTCAGGGAAGTACAGGAAACAGGTTCGGAATGTGACTCCTTAAATTCATCCATTGGAAGAAAACAGTCTCCTCCAGCAAGTCTTGAGATGTACCAGACAATTTCTCCTCAGAAAGTATCGCCAGAAGAATTCTCACTTGAGGAATCATCTACAGGAGACTCCTCTTCTCTAACTGCAGATATTTCTAGGGGCTCTCCTGACTGTGTAGGCATGGCAGAAACTAAGAGCATGATCTTTAGCCCTGCAAGCAAAGTTTATAATGGAATCCTGGAGAAGTCTTGCAGCATGAACCAGCTTTCAACTGGGATCCCAGTCCCAAAGCCTCGTCACACCTCATGTTCTTCAACAGGCAGTGATTGTAAACCCAGCCATGAAGCTGCTTCTGTCCCTAGGATAAGTAGCATCCCACAGGACCTCTACCAGAATGGTGAAAAAAATAAAAAGCCATCAAAAATAAAAAACCTCTTTAAGAAGAAGTGTAAGTGAGGTGGGCAGAAGAAAACATACAATAATGTTATAAGAACTCTATTTTTTAAATCTTTAGGAATGTAATTCCATTTGAGCATTCCAGACTGGATGCCCRAATGGAATACTCTGTAGGTCACCTATATTTAATGACTGTACTGTCAATGGTCGTGCCAGCTGTCAATGAGAAATCATTAAAAAGATCAGACAGTTTACATTAATTTCTGCCTATTTATTTCTTTATATTTTTTAGTTGTTCTTTTTCAGATTTTTTTTTTAATTTTTATTTGTTTAGTTGGGCTTTTTTAAGTTTATTCATAAACCATTTTTAAGCCACTTTGGACTCCTAAGCTTTAATGGACTAGTAAGCCTTCCTGGGCTTGCCAAAGTTTCTTGTTTACTGGAGCATCTTCCTATCTTTCCGTAGAACTAGGACATTTAACTACTGGACTTTAAACAAAAATAAAAGAAGTAGAACTAAATGAATTGCACTACCGTTTTACAGACTGGAACAGTCTCTGCAAGTGAAACTGAAAGACTTGTATTTGACTGAGAAGATGAATCTTTTCAATTTTAGATCTTTTGGGATTTTTAAGTAGAATTTAGCATTTCTAATTGACTTGATTCCTGGAAATAGAAATGTCATACTTTTATTATGGGAAGCTTTGTTAGATGCATTTATTATTAGAATGGTTCAAGTCCTGCTTTAAAGATCATTTTTTTCCCAGGACTTTCACTGTGATTTTACTTCACTGCAGGCTGTATGACAAACAAAAAAAAAAAGAAAAAAAAAATTTACCAAGAGAACAGGCTCTTGATTCCTTATGCAAGTGATGGTTGTGAAACTTGACTGAAGACTGAAAAAATTCACCCTCTTGAAATGAGGAGGGGAATAGTAGCTTTTGTTTACAGATTGACAGACAATGGACATTTGGGTTGTGGAAGTTTGTGCTGTGGTAAAGATAATAAATTGGAAACATTGTTGTGCTTGGGAATGTTCCAATTGTAGCTGATGCTTGTTTCAGACTTGTTTCAGAGGTCCTGTTAATTGAAAGCTGTTGTAGGCTACATTGCTTATGCTTACTGCTRTGTATAAGTTATATTTTTTGAATTAGCTATTATTGTCTTAATGTCCTCCTTTTGTAAGATTTCATACACTTTATTTTTGTATAGTTTGAAGATTTAGCTGTTCAGAGATGTCTGAAGTAAATGGTATAATTTTATAATGCATACTGTTATACTAACTCATAATTTTAGATATAAAGATAAATATAAAGGTGAGATGGCATGCTTCAGATAAAAGCAATTTTTGTGAAGCTTTTATAGGGAGAGATGAAATGATGCAAGGTAACAAGGAAGCCTTCTTAGGGTAGCAGTAGCTAGTCRTTCAAAAACATCTTTTTATTTTTTTTTAAACAGTTGGAGACAAGAAATGTACTGCTTAAGCAACAGTGCCTTTTATTCAGTTTGAAAATATTAGTACTGAGCAGGAATTTCTTCTGAGGTACATTCCAAAGAAATATTTCCTGCTCTAGTCAACACAAGCAATTTACCCAGTGATGACTAAACAGTCTCTGATCTTCCATAGGGGTGTTCCAGTTGCCTCAAGTAGCAGGTGCCACTGCCAGGGACTTGTGATTAGGGGCTCACACGCACCAATATGTATGTGATGTACTGTATGAAAGAATTATTTCACTGACTGCCTAAATTTTTTTAGTAAGGAGCCTTCAAAAACTGTAGCTAGTTGAAATCAAGTGATATGTGTCTTTACTGTCATTTTTTTTTTCGGTTCCACTGCGCATACCCCATGTGTTAGTTCTCTCCTCAAGAAGTGGTGGTGGTGGTGGTGATTTTAACAGATTTGCTGTGSTTGGTGACATGGTTGAAAGAGAAGGGTTATGAAACGGATGGAGACCTTACATGTGCAAGTACCTGAAAAATCCTGATACATTGATTATTTCCTTAAGAGAGCAGAAGCAATCCAGAGTTTTATTGTCCAGCAAAGACGGATTGTAGGCCATCTGTGCAGAAAAGGGTGAGAGGAAGCAACTGTTTCGTTAAAGTTCCGAGAAGAAAAAAATGGAAGAATAGAAAATAATGAGAACATAACATTATTCCATTATTCTCTGAATCATCGGATTGAATAGCTGTAGTGTAAAAAAATAAAGTCATCACAAGATGACAATTGTCTCTTTTAACAAAGATTGTACACTCTGTACACAGCAGACAACAAAAAGCAGCGATGAAAAAACCTTGTGCTGAAGAACCACCACAATGCCGAGCCTTCAAGAGCTGCAGTTTAAAGCATGATGAAGTACTTTTATACAAATAGGGAACTTATTGTGCCTCCCAATCGACGCAGAGAAGACTACTACCAGAAAAATCTTGATGCACTTGAGAACGCTGTAGCAATAATTGAGCTTAAAATAAGATCTGGAACTGGGTAGTAGATTTTGGTGTGAGGTTTGAGTAACTCTGTCTGTATAATTATCAAAAAAGATCTAGTGGAATTTTGTTACTGGAGAGTAAATATTTACACATGGAGAAAGATCTTGTCCTGAGGARTGGRAGGGCAGCAYTTCTTAATTCTAACATCAAAATAARGCAAACTCAAATACTAAGAAGCCAAAACAGACAAATTCAGTTTTCTGTAGTAAGTATAACTAAAAYRTGAAATAGAGGAGGCATTGAACTCTTCATTGGCTGTGAGTTGAGGTGTTACAAATCTTTAAAAAAATACCATTTTAACTGTCTTCTGGAAAAAAATGTTTGAGGATGTTGACAAACAAATCAGATGAGGTAATCATAGTGATAGRTTTTGGCTTCAAAATGACAAACCTTTGGAGCACAGACTACTCTCAACACTCAGTGTATCACCAGCTGTCCTGTAACTTTATAGCTGCTTCTTAATAAGTGTTAGAGAACTAAGAGCTTAAGTTAATACAGTCAGAAGTGGTGAGTATTACATGTTGGAGCACAGGCTAATCTTAAGTTAATTTGGTTTAYGTATTATTAAATTAATAGGCCATTTGCATTTCTTGCCCCCTAAATTTGTCCCAAATTTAAGTGGTTTCCATTGCTGCTACTGCAGCTACTGCAGAAATTCCATCTTCAAATGGTTGGAGTCATTTTACTGAGGGAGTTTTGAGAGCACTGGCTCTAAGGCAGATCTTCACTGGCAAACTGTCAAATCCAGTCTTAGTGTTGAAGTACCCGGCAAATGTCCGCACCTGAGAAGTGAGACAATGCCTCAAAAGGTCTTTTGTTCCAGCTGCATTTGCTTAACAGTGTAATTCGAACTCTCTGGCAGTCAGTGAGTTCAGCCAGCATTCCAGCACTGGGATTACAGGACATATCAGTCATTCATGACAATCATGTAGAGATTAGAGATTGATTCATGGGTTTTTTGTTTCCTTTTGGTGTTTTTCACTTTTATAGCTAAAATCCATGTTCTTTTTATAGTTCTGATGTTTCAGAAGATGAGGCTCTTTGCTTTTTATATATTTTGTTGGAGTACTTTGTCAGGACAGCAGCCTCTATGGAAATTGCCTAAATCGCTTCTCCCTAAAGAGGTTGCTGTTTAAGTGACTTGTAAAATGAGGTAGTGTCAAATGTGTGGTTCTGTATAAAGAAGACAAAAAACCCCAGTTTTTCCAAAACGAAACAAATGCAAACCTTTCCACAAATCTTACTAAAGCTATATGACACTTGATTACTAAAACTCTAAAAGTTTTAGGAAGAGCATTTTGGTTGCCATGGGGAATGCTTTTGATCAGCTTATAGTGGACTTAGAGATTAAAGCAATTGATTGTGTTTTGGTTTTTTGGCTTTTCTTTTTGGTTGATTCCCCCATCCCTCATCCCCCCACAGCTCAGTGATGGAACTTAAAATTGATCATTGACAGTTCCAGGCATATGCCAGCTTTTCTTCCCCCACTGGTACCTAGGTAGCAGTTTACCCCCTACTTCCTGAAGGGCAGTTTGCTGACAGAGGAAAAATTCTCGATCATAGTCCGAGTAGTAATGTTATGGTAAGAATACAGTTCCTTGTTAGGAAGCCTTGAAAGTGATGAAGCCAAGAATACTTGATTCAGTTTTCTTGTGATACTCCAGCTGGCATCYGTAAATAAGGCAGTAATTTACAACTGATTGAAAGCCTAAAAAGATTAAGCTAGTTAGGTTAGGAATTAAAGCTTTCARGATTTTGTCCTTGTGCTTCCCAATATATGGGAACATGGCAGGCACAGGAGAGAAATGAGCTAATTAGCATTTCTTATGCCATCAGCTTTTAGTGTTTCAAAATAGTTTCATTCCATTTCCAAGTTACATTGCTAGAGAGGGATTGGATTACTACCTTACTTTCATAATATATGCAATGAAATTTTTTTTTTCAATTAATTACAAGCATATTTACAAGCAGTGGAGGATGTAAATAAAATATTTTTCCAGATACAGGAATTACTATATTTTGGACCTCTTGTCTCTTTGCTTATTCCTCGTGCAATATGTTAAGTAGGGTGAGCACATTTTTCTAATCTGTTCCAGTTGCTTTCACTAAAGGGGTGTGTTCCTATCTCACATTTGGATCACTGCTCCCAATTCCTTGTGGGCATTTTAATCCTGGCTGTTGCATCTTCAATGATTCGTGGTGAAGCCCACTATATGGCTGGTGGAGTCTGAGTGCTGCTAACATTTTCTGTGAGTGGCACAGATGCTGGGATAACTAATAACCAAAAATCGCCYGCAGGGTTTGGCTGCCAGTGACACATTGACAGTGTGTAAATGTTTAGGTGACCATTCTTTGAGGCTTCAGGAGCAGTTCAAATGTGTCATACACGTGTTCAACAGTTAGTTTTTACTTCCAGCCCAGGACAGATGGTGTTTGTCTGACTCTCCACTTAGTTCTCTTTTGCATAAACAAAATGTACCAATTCGTATAAATGGTAACAATATTAACCTTTAAACTATTATTCCTGGGTGCTCTTTCATCTGACATTGCTTAAGCAGATGGCAGTACTTATCAGTCCACTTCAGGCACTCAAAAATAAATAGATTTGTGTTATCTTTTGTTTTTCTGTACAACTTTGAATCTCAAGTTTACCAAGTTTTGTGTGTGTGTTCTGCGTTTMATGCTTCACTGAAATGAAAGTGGGAAGGTTGTTCTCTTCTTAGATGTTAAGGAGAGCATGTTTGAGCAAGGTAAAAATAAATGCCTCTTTCTCATTAGAGAGGATGAAAAATGTTCAGAGGTATTAAACCTCCTCTTAAGGAGCACTCACAATTTWGATTGCTGTAGATAAGAGGTACATTCAATCTCAAGGCTTTCAAATCAGTAACTTTTTATCCAGCAAAAACCCCCACTTTCTTCTTCAGGTGTACTTTTCAGAGCATTACCTTCTTATTTCTAATTTCTATTCTGTTTTTCACCCAGCATTAAATTTGGTAGTTAGAGCACCAATTGGGGTGATTGCCAGACCTCAGAGCAGTTTCAGATAATGTTTGGTAGCATGTCTTAATGTCAATTTTGGTTTAATATATGCTAAAGACATCTGAATTAATACTTTGTCCTTTACATTCCTTTTAATTCAACTCAGTTCTTTGTGATCTCTCTACTGTTAAAAAAGTTAACAGGTACTGGTAGTTGTTTAGAGTACTACAATAKTTTTTCACTTGGGAGTAGTTGCCTTTTAAAGACTTGATCACAATTGGATATTGTAAAAACACTGCTGTACATCAGGTGAACTAGGTAGAGCATTGACTGGTGTAATTTGTGCACGAGTGGTAAAGTTACCCTTCAATGATCCATTGATTGTTTATTTGTGTCTTAAGTTAATGCTGCACAATTATTTTCAGACTTGAATTCGTTTAAAATTAWGGTCAGTGTGTCCAGCCCTTCAAAAGTCAGTCTTCAGTTGTCAGCCATCGCTCCATTCTTACAGAAGTTGATTACAATCTCGAATATTTGTACTAGCTTGTTAGCTTGTTAGGTGGTAGAATGGATTCCTGAAAGTCTTCAGGTGGAAGGCAGAGAACTTCTGAAATGAACCAGGTAACCTGAGTTCTTTATCAGCTTTCAAATCCATCTCCCAGTAAGATGGTGTCTCCCCAGGGGAATGTAGATGTACTTACTGCTTGGAACTTTGTAGTTAATTATATTTGGCTCTCTACTTCTAGTAACTTGCATGTGTGCTATGCTTGCTTGCTTTTYAATAACTGACAAAATCTATAGGAGATCTTGGGGGTTTGTCTTAAAATTGCTGTAAAAACAAAAAAAAAGACTGGCAAGAGAAATCTATCAGGCTGTGAACTGAATAGAACCAACAAAGAGACCAGCTGTTGTCTAAAAGTATTGTTTAAATAATTCTTAATGAAATTAATTGGGTAGCACGTCAATTTTCACATTACTCTCCTCCAAGCAACAAACATAATTMAAATACCCTAGACTTCAGTAAGGCTATCTGGGAGATGTGCCCTGTTTTTACTTTTAATTTAAATAACATTGAGTTGTTGTGAGTGTTCAGCATTTTAATGCCTGACTTAAAAGATTAGCAGAATTTGAATGACTTGCATTGTTTTGTTTAATTACCACTTTATGAAAATGTAGATACTTGCATAAAGCCCATCATTGGATCTGGGTATGTWTTAATGACATAGCAAGAAGAGGACCAAGACAAGTAAATATGTGCAAAATTTGAATCTCAACATGCTTTACTGTTCTGGGAAGAGATGTTCTCCATGCAGATTCTGCTCTTCCTCTGTTTGCTCTTGGCTTCTGTTTGTTTTCATTAGTTGAACTAAAATAAGAAACAAAGCCCTCAGACTGATTAGTTTCTGTCTCTAATATATACACTGTACTTGCTTTTGACCTCATCTATTGCATGTTGTTAATGCTGTACACAAATGCATTTGGAGTATTTCTTTGGTGTTGTACAGCATGGTGCATTTCATTCCCTTTTCTAGTTTACCTCCCATTAGCTATATATTGCTTTACAACTGGAAAAAAACCTGAATTTTGGGGAATTTAGTCTGTTTGCATAAAAAAAAAAAATATTTTTTTTCTTTTCTGTGAGTCTTACGAGAATTGTCCTGCTTGGAGAGTCTCAGACAGTATTTTCCTGTGTTTATTCATGTTACTTTGCTTTATTTTATAAGTGAAAATTGATTTTATTGATTTCTGATGTGTTGTTGCACTTAAT